CTTTCTTTCAACTCTTACAATTAATATTCAACTTTTATTGCTGCAATTAAAGAACTACATATATGAATAGCGGGAAATTAACTTTCAAATCTTTAAATATTCATTCCTATTTTATCGTGCATCTAATAACGGGATATGCATATAAAGATGAACCAAAAAAAGAAATTGCTAACGATAACGTTGAAATAACCAGTTTAACTGTATAAATAGAAGATATTTAAAAAAAACTTGTAATATGATTCATGAATGAACGATGTAGAACAGATGCTATATGAATTGAACATAAAAAATGTAAAAAATATAGATGTGATTATGTAAACTTTGTTACCTAACGTCTAAGATTTTGCAGACTTAATAAAGGCAATACGAATATATTAATTATTTTACAATAGCATTCTAAAATAAATTTGATATTTAAGTAATTCATCTATTGTACACGTATTCCTAACAAAGAAATGATAAAAATGTCTGTCGTTCCAATGAATGGAGAAATTTTTCAGGTAACAAGGGAGAATAAATGAATTCAATTTCGTTTTGTTATTCAGTTAAGTCTGACGCAGTTTACAAATCTGTATGAAGCCATCAATCTGAAATTCTTCTTAAAGCAATTAATAGAATTTTCATTTTCGAGATTGAAACAATAATTGTGCAATAACGCTTCTAAATAGCCCGGTCGTGTTTACATTAAATTTTTTCGATGTTTGGAGTGAGAACGTTACGACCTCCGCGAAACACAGTCCGTAAGTACAACAGTTTTCTCGATACCGGCCGAATCGTGTGCACACAGATTATCGGTAAAACATAAAGCCTTCTCCGCGGCTTCACGGATGAAAAAGTACGCGATAAATCATGGTAAATCTCGGTAGTTCATTATTCCCGGTAATATCGGGGCGAATACCACAAAGATGGGCGTGACCGTAGATCGAGACCGTTCCTTTCTTTGCATCGAGCGCGCCGTGAGAAGCGACTTTTCACCGCTGTCTCATCAGAAAACGAACGTTTCGACCGCTGCGCTCGTATTTACAGCAATAAAATTAATTACGGATCGCGTGAATTATAGGAAAATAACTTTCCATTGATCCCGGTGACTATACCAGTAATTAATATACTCTTTTTCTATTACCTAATAATATTGCTTCGCAGCTGAAGAAGTGTAATTCTGCTTTCTCGTTTAACTTTCACTGTTACTTTTCGTTATAGTCTTTCTTTGTACCTCTATTTTATTTTATTTTATTTTATTTAATTGCAGTAATGAATAAATTTTTTTGTACAAATACTGTAGATCAATATTGTATTGATAATTATATTGGTAGAAAATGATTTTAATTGATCTCTATCGGAATTTACTAAGTGCAGTTATGAATTTTTATGCGATTGTATATCTTTATTCCGACACTTCTCGATTATTCCGCCATTGCCGCGAACGTGTTACAGTCCGGGTATTAATAATTTTTCAGTCGTTTCGGACGCGGCGGATTGATTTCTTCGTTCAGCATGCGAACGTTAATCACGTTAGCGCCATTAGCACGGCGTTTCCCTTCCTCACTTTCGATCATAAAGTCAAACATCATTCGACTGGAAATAATCTTTGAGCACCGATCGATCGACAATGGCCCCGACGTAGCGGCTTCTGTGATTCGCTGAATTTCAGGTGAAAATTTAGAAACCATGAAAGCTGCATACCGATCAAGTGAAACGTCGTTAAGTGGAATTTATAACAGCAGACGAATTTCGTATGGCAGAAGCTGATACGTTAAACGTGAAACATTTACCGTATATTTTGTCAAAAACAGAAATAAACAATTTTGACTGACTAATCCGAGTTTCAAAAAAAAAAAATTGAATTATTATTCTTATATACAAACATATGTATTATACAAAGAAATATTTACATTTTATTTAAAAACGACAATGACACAGAATTTAAATTATCTCTCTGCATCTTTGAAATTGATCGCGATCCAATCATGAATTTTCAGCACTACAACCTTCGAAAGGTTAAGTGACCAAACAATGAAGAACAGTGGCCAAAATTTTACATAAACTATTTATATTTAACATTTTTCAAAATTTAGCAATTCCGTGGGGAAATGAAATCTTTTTTGCAAAGATCTCAGAATAATTACCTATTGTATTTTCATCGTTCAAGTTGCATCAAGCGTTACAAAATTTGATGATTGGAAGAATGATGGTTCCTCCAAGAATATCGAGTGGGTATTTACTTACCTGTATGAGCGCTTCTGGCTGCAAATGTTTCAAGAATTCACCTTGCTGATAGGTAACAGAAGGTTGTTGTTGTTGTTGTTGTTGTTGGAGCCTCAGTTCCGCTTGCATCGCGGCTATCGACTCAGGAGTACAGGACGCACGAGCTTGGACCCAGGAAGCGGCGAGGATGAAGCTTCCCAGGACCACGGACATCGTCACCATAGTAACCGCCGCGATCCTGGCGATTTGAACGGCTGTACTCTTTGGCCTCATGTATGCCTGCGGATCAATTGAATAAAAATTGATTAGAATAGTATTTGTCATTTCACACTTACGTCGGCAACCGAATACCCATTTTCAAACTTTCTTCTACATAAATTTCTATTGTGCTCGAGAACACTTCATCAAATCGCTGTGGATTTACATTTTTTTCAATATTTTTCGATTTTTAACGAAATTCCTTTGGATTTCGAATTCATTTCCTAATCATTTTCTCCATATTTCAGCAATATTTCGTTTATTCAATTTTCTCGAGCTAATTACATTCTCATTCTATCCAAGATCATTTGATTTTAAACATTTTACAGAAAAACTTGTCATTAGCCTACATCTCCCTATTTTTTACCCTAATTCACACGACTCGAGTCTCTTCCATATTCCACGCTACAACCAAAGAAATTTATTTACCTTTAAATGCGTTCAGCAAAATGTTTAATTCCATATAATCAACACACTTTCTTAACGCTACTTTTTCATGACGCGTACATTGAATGCACCATTAAAGTTATATTTATATTTTAACGAAGCATAGATTACTGGGAATATGCCTGCAAGCTATTATTCTAACTGGTTACATCAATTTAACATTCATATAAGTATTCTCAGGAACTAATTGCAAATCATCTCGTGGAAAATTGAAGAAAAATATATTTTAATGCATCACTGTACAGAAACGAAGACGTAGCTTCACGTTAAACGTGTCCTGCACAGTAAACCCGCTGAACCCCACGCGCAGGTCCGATGAATACAACAATGAAACGCGTGCAAGAATCATTATTTACACGATAATGTGGCCGATGCGATGTACCACGCACGCAGAACGCAGTTGAACGTGTGCGTGGAGCTTCATGCTGGCTAACCAACCGAGTCGAGGTCTTCTGTCGTTTCACGCTCTCCTTTCGCAGTCTCGTGGCATTCTCACTTGATAGAATGAAGCTAATTGCGGGAAAAAGTGAAAAATTCTATTGGAGAATCTCACCGTTTCCCCATAGACGCGCGCGTGCGTTTCTTTTCTCTCGCGTGAACACCGTCTGCGGCACTTTCAAAACATCGCAGGACCTCGTGACGCCAATAGCACTGCTGAAAACTACGGGCGAAACTATCGGTGTGTAATTCATAGGCATTTCTTTAACACTATGGCTAGCGAGCAGTGAAATTGACTGATTTGTATTTTCTTGCACAATTTGTAAAATTATACAATCATACGATTATACGATTATACGATTACACGATTACACGATTACACGATTACACGATTACACGATTTGTATGTTGAGAGTTCAATTAGCTTATGTTGTAGTTTAGGTTTACCTAATAATTTTGGGTTTATTTAGCAATTTTTAAGTCAATCGTCTATGCTTTTTTAATAATTGTAAAAGAATAGAATCGAAATTATTTGAACCCTTCTAGTTCTACTGTTAAAGGGACACAATTATCTGGTTTCAAAGAATAAATTAATTATCCGTAAATTATCTAATAGTTGTCAATGAAATAACTATATCGCGAAAAATTGAGGAAAAACGATATAACTGTGCGATCACAGAACTTTTGCGCAAAATCCATCGTGAAACTGTTGAAAGGATTCAACTTGATCGCATAACGTCGGTTAGCGAGATTGTGGTTAAACTTAGGATATCTTAAGACAAAAGCCAAATAAGAGGCATGAAAAACAGGAGAACTTCTCGGTATACTTTACTGCGTCTTCTAATCCACTTATCAAATTAATGCAAATTTACGAAGACGTTAAGCAAGACCATTAACTAAGAAGTCCTTTTTTATTACGTTTATCGTCTTCTGTAGAATTGCATTGGTAAACACATTTTCCGCCTCGAAGACCAAGATGACTATCAAAAATATTTTGAGTCGCGGCGGATACGATATGATTTACGAAACGCGGAAAATAAATAAACATTAGCAATTCCTTGAGACTACAGCCTTACAGTGAATGATTCACAAATGAGTATGTTAGAGCTGTGGACTGTGAAGTGCCTTGAAACAATACGATACATACCGGTGAAAATATGTTTACGTAAATCTTTTTAACCTTGGAAGCATACTTTATAAATTCCATTATCTTCCATTCATAGCAGTTCAAAATCGTCTTTAATAACAGAAGCATCATCGAAACAACTGTAAGAGCAAAATTGACTCATTTATACATGTGGTGTCTTTATCAAAACTAATTCTATATTCCAGAATAATATTCTTACATATTTCGAAAGTCATTTTGCAGTGACGATGAACCGTAACATATTTATTCTGCAATTAGCATTTGTTTTTTTTACAGGGAATCATTTTATTTTCTAATTTCACTACGATTGATGCAACGAACAATTTTTTATTGTTTTGAAGATAAGAATTTTAGAAGTGTTTTATACTCGACGAAAATAAGAATTTTAAAACAGTTTGATAAACAAGGAAAATAAGAATCTTAGAAAAATTTTTGAAAAGAATCTTGAAAATTTTATCGAAGAGTTTAATCGTGATCTTATGCAAGGTTAATAACACAGTAAAAACAAATGTACAGCGGAGGAAGAATTCTTAAGGAGAAATTGTATCTGTCCGCGTGACTCGTCTCCATTATTTTAACGTGATTTGCATTTCATGAATAACCAGGAAGAAGGATCTCGTGTAGGTAACGACAAAACCATGTGCGAATTACCATAAAGATAAATCACTTTGACAAGTTTCTATATCGCAATGTATGTCCCTTAAATAGATTACCTTGATTCTCGTATGATCTCCGTTCAAAAATATTTTCATTATACAGCTAAGATTAAAATAATTTTCAATTACATCAAATAACGTCTTATACGCACACGCACGCGCACACACACACACACATTATATAACACACTTATCTTTCGATTTCTTTTCCAATTCCGCTCATCAGATTTACGTTGCTTTCAATAATTTCGTTGAGGAAGAAGAAATGCTACTTTCACTGTGAGCCTACGCTTATTTCGAGCAATGAATCGATTACATGAAAATAGTACCACACTTCAACTACGAAGAACACTAAAAACATTCCTGTTTGTTAAATTGAGTTTGGAACTTCCGCCGTGAATCCTATTAGGCATTACAAGACGGTGAGTTATATAACGTAATTACCTTTATTTTGCGGAATATTTAAGGTAATCAGTGTAAAATAATCTTATCCCGAGATACACGATCCAAGATTATTTTCTTCTGAAATAATAAATGGCAGATGTCAAAGAGAAAAACAGATGATTTTTATTGGGTATGATCATGATTATTCGATTTTTTGTCGACTAGAAAAAGTAGTAAGCTTGATTAGCGAGGGTCGTTACGGATGCTACGTTAATTGTGCAGTGAATTAATGGAAAAAGGCGAACACTTGTAACAGGGACTGTACTTGTACGTATTCGTAATGACCTCGATGTGGATGGACGACTGTAAGGTGAGAGGCCTCGAGGAGATAGTAGGCCATCCGAGGCTGTCTTTATGCTGCTCGATCCGCCAGACAAAAGTAAACAGGCACTGTTGCCAGGCATTCGAAACGAAAGGATTATTTACTTACACGGATAGGCTGACTCGGTGGAAAGTTTTTGACCACTTTTCCTGTTTTCGAAAATATGTTCTAACAAACCGAATATCGCACGCCGAGAAAAGACACTCGTTCGTATCCTTTCCACGATTCGTGCCGCTGCTTCGAAATCCGTTCACATTATCTTCAATTACTCGGATACCTCGAGATCACCTGCACGAAACAATTGGACGACGTTGTTTGAAAGTTTAGATAGTGTGGAACGTCGTGTAACATGCTTTGACAAATATTTCTTACGAAACAATCAACTAACTAATTAATGAACAGTTAACTAAGTAACTCATACAATATGGAGACAACCATAATGTTAACTTCTATATATCGTTCAGCAGAATCTATAATTGGAATGCAAAGTTTAAATTAATTTGGTATTTGCAACATCTTTATTAAACATTATTAACGACTATTTTTAATGATAAACGATTAAACGTCAACGAAAGATATTATAGAGTTACTTTCAATATCATACCCTGTATATATGACAATTTTGAAACAATACTGTCCATCCGCTGTCTATTTTACTCTTCTTTATAACTAGCAAAAAGTAGTGAACTGATGATGCTAGTACAGCACGACAAAATTTCTGAACGCATCCTCTTCGATGCAACCCGACTGTTCCGAACGTTAGCGTGATACTTTTACTTTTGAAAGGAAATTCGAATGGTCCGCTCTTGTAAAATAGGCGATATCTAAGCAAGAATCGCGAATACGTTCGGTGATCGAAGAAAAAGTGATCCAAATGACTCGGTAAAAGGAACTGTACGGGACTTCGTTTTTAGTTCGTGTAGATAGCAATTGCGGCTAATTAAAATGGAGGAAGGCTACTTGAAACGCCTGTCGTCTTCCGCGAACTATATGCCGTGACGCGTATAAAATTTTAATACCAAGAAATCCCCTGACAGTTACATTTTTTAGCTTGTAAACTCGGTTCGAAGTGATTACAACACGTTTTTCACGTGGACTTTTTGGACCACAGTGTACTTTTTTCAATTATGTCACGAATTCGTCATCACGGCAAAATTATATAAAAGACCAAAATCAGTTACTATTCATTCCGTTATTACCCAAGTATTTATCTTTGGAAAACATGCACTTTCCCAAGATAGTCTACAAAGATTAATTAAAATCGCGGAAGAATAGAAAGGGTTATTTCTTTTTTCTCAGGAAAGTGAACAGTGAAGTATGCTTCGGTTTATATAAAACGCCTGGAACGCTAATCTGTGAAGTGCACAGCTAAATAATAGATGTGAATAATTCTGCAAATAATTAAGAAACTTCTACAAGTCACTTGTTGAAAAATAGTTGGAACAATTTGTATTTGTAGTGGCACAGGAAATATAGAAAGAACTATATTTAATATTAAATTGTACAACATATATTAACATATGAAGCATTGAAATAAAATAGTTCCTTAATTTATCTATAATTTATCTTTAACTCGAGAAGATATCATCTGCAACTAATCGAAAAGTATTGGATACTTTTACTGAAAAACTTTCGAGTGCAAAGGGTTAAGAACGTTGTTTATCAGTCTACAGTGGTAAAGATAGAAATAACATGAAAGAACTCTCTACAAAGCGTTGTGACACCGAACGAACTTCGTTGAGTAATTTCCTAAACTCGCGTGAAAGCATTATTCGAATGATAAATAATGGGTATAAAGAAAATCCTTTCATTGCATAATACTACAGGAAATTCAAGTTTCAATTACTCGCTGTTCAAATAATGGTAGGATGGTCGCATGATGAAATGATTACTGATATCTACGCCCTGTGTGTTCGCAACTGGGATGCACGGCTGGATTTACGCAAACCAAGCATTAAAGTCTCCGGGCACGCTCGACATGACCAGCTGAGATTGCGTTATTTGAAACCGGCGCTTTTTACTATGGAAATTCCATAATACTCGCGCATAATTAAGTGCATCGATAAGCGTGCGTTCAATGAAAATCTTACTTTGAAAGAAACTTTTATAACTGGCCTTTTTAATAGACATCTGCGTTGATGAAAAAGAGTATGGTTAAATATACAGAATTCTCAATCAACAATGTGCAATAAAGTTTTTCATTCGATCTCTCTTTTTCCGAGAAAATTGAGGCTAAACATTTCATCCACGTATCTGTATTCAATTAACTGGAAATATTGATTTTCTCGACTGCAAACACTGCACTTTTCGTTATGGATAAATGAATTTTAGAATAAATTTAAATTTTAATTCTTGAAAATAAAAGTATGAAAAGCTGTGTTATTTACGATTGGATGGGATGATCCAATAGAATATATTTAAACTTAATTGTTAGAAAGGTCCTCGAATAAGTAGATTTTATTTTGTACCTTCGATTTATCTTTTCATGTATATTACCTCAATATGAAAATTGTTATTGGTAGTTAGGTTCTCATTGATATTTTAAATAATTTATGTCATACTGTTCTACAAAGGTTTGTTAATTTTCCGACAAACATGGTCATAGCGGTGTACGCGATGCATAACGTCGATGCTGAAGTCAATTCGGGTCAAATGATACGGCTTCAGTCACGGTTCAATTGAAAAAGAAACGCACCTCAAATTGTTGCTAGGAAGTCTATAAGAAATGGTTTTTCTTTTAGAGTGAGAGGTACCTGTTCACAATGGAACATTGATTGTAAGAATAAGAAGAAGTGATTATTTTTCGAAAGTAAAAGATATATTACTAAACAATTTAAAATGGTTTCTCTTCATAAAATATGAAACACAGATTATTAATGAAAGAATAGAAACTGTTTAAAATCTTGGAATCTTTTACATTTTACACGCAAGACCATTAAAAAAAATCAGCTTTATTGTCACGAATATTTATCTGAAGTGAGAAGATTTTAAAACTATTTCCACGATTTTTCAGAAACAAGAAACAAACAGTTCCTTGAATGAATGCGACGGAAATGTTTGATATCAGTGAAAAATTGGGATTCACGCACAGCGCATAGAAAGTGTCCGGTTCTCATGAAATAAACGAATGAAAAGAGCGTGGCCGGCGTAGAAAATGAAACCGCGTCGCGCATAATTTTTCAGGGCGCTCGTCGTCACGCTCACAAAATACGAAAGTTCGATTAACCGGGGAAACAGAATAAAATGATACGCTCCAAGTGAACTGATGCTATATCTATATTAAGAGAAAATCTATCGCAATTGAAACCCGAAGTTATAAAGCAGTAAACGGCCTGTCGTTCGAGAACGTTGGCTTTACCCTAATTCACGAGTCAGTTCTGCGGGGGGTTCCCACGGAATTTTCTTTTCTTCTTATACAGCGGAATTAATTATTTCTCAGAACTCTTTTCGAGAAACGACTCGCCAATGACCGTACAGTTCTAGCCAGATAGAACGAATCATGCATCACACACATGTATATAAAACATATTCTTCTAAACAAAAGAAAGTAACTCAGAACTATACAATAAAACTTGTTGGTTTTCACCTTCCAGTCAAACCCCTAATTACAGAACATTCTTTATTATAAAAACAAACCATTTCTTCGAAAAAATTCTTCTTTAATATTAATATACAATTTCTTTTTTATGATCTTTTTAACTTTACTGTTTCCTGTAAATCGTCCCTTTATGAAATTTGAAAAATTTTACTTTATTACACCTCGTGGATTCATTATATTCCAAGTGGAGTTTGATTATTGTCAAATATCAGATATTGTAATGAAGAAAAATTGAATAAAATTGTAAAAAAGGTATTAAATGAGTTACTCCTGGAAACACGAGATATAATACGCAACGAGGTTACTTTTCCCAACGTACGGTCTGTCTTCCCTGGTTTTTATCAGCCAGTTTTGATCGATCAATCTGATAAACAGGAACCGCGCGAGAGCACGCCTCATACAATTAAATATGTCCAGAAACTTTCACGGAAGTGCATTGCACGGATTTCCGCGCTCTTTTGTGAAACAGATCCTGAACACGCTCTCGATCCGAATCATTCCAAATGTAATCAAATTTCATCATTATCTCCATTGTATTGTGAAATATGTCGAACGAAGTACATACACATATACCTTTGCGGGATCTATGAAATGTATGTAATACCTGCAATCAACTATTACAATTCTATTCGTAGCTTTAAACGGCAAATTTGATTGTCTATTTTGTTTATTTCTAATAGCTCCTTAAATGTCTTCAAAAATTCATTACACGTGTTCTTATAAATTAATGAACTTAATATCTTAAAATTCCTTAAAATTGCCAATATACTTGTCAACTGCAAACTTATTATTTTAAAACATACAATGTCCACGTTACTCATACTCATTGTATATTTCAAAATTGTTACTTATAAAAATCGAAAATCTTTTATAAATTTACTAATTACACCTGCTGTCTTCGAAACTCATTTTTACATTATTTATATATTTGTTTTAATACTCTAATCGTTCATAGAACTTCATAACTTTAATCCACCGTATAACGTTAAGCATTTAACAATACATAAGAATCATTGTTGCCGATTAGTAAAACAATAAATCAACTACGAAGTTCCAGGTAAAAATTAAAGTACAATCATTAAAACAACAGTCGCGAGATATGCGTTACATAATCCCCGGTTCATGCCAAGAATACTCCAATAATTGTTTTTATCTGCATCGGTTAACAGCAAACGATCAGCCTCGAGGTACATGCGTGACAGAGTATTCTTTATGTCCCTGCAACAGCGTAAACGCTGTTGCGTGTGTAGATAACTCTGCACATTCAAAACGAAAACGTGCAAAACGGGTGTTTTATTCCGTATCCTGAATTTGTGAACCATATCGAGTCAATTTTAAACTGTAAATTCCTTTAATTCCCCGATGGTTTAATTAAAGGTGCTGTTTAAAGTTGAAAGGTAAATTTCCACGTTCGAACCTGATGTGAAACGTTCTAAACCCAAAGGATCTCTTGGTAGTGGTAATAGATGAAACATAGGTCATTAGAAAGGAAGAAGCCAATGCTCATCTTTTAGACATCTGCTGGATTAAAGGAACGGATGCTCGTTCATCTCCTCGCTTCGATAAAATTAAAATCCAATCATTTGTCTGGGTATCCTCAGTAAATTATTTGCTGAACGTGTCAAAATGGTTCAAGAGTTTCCGCTAGATTTTATAAACAAACGGAGCGGAGCAGGCGTCGCTCTTATCGCAAGGCTCGATATAAGGACTGGAGTGGGAATAACTATTAAGCATTCATCCCTGCTCGGTTTAAACTGCGCGAACATTCGCTCACATCCGCCGCGAATATAGCTCGATTACCGTATACACTAAACGAGCACGAATTTGTCGAAATGGGGGACGAGCGAGCATTCTCGTTCGTCTAGTTTAAACGCGCCATCATTGAACGACAAAGAAACGCTATTCCAGTAAATTTTCCAATTGCGACATACAAATCGTACGAAATTAACGAGAACTCCGACGATTTCGTGGAGTATTTAAATATTTTACGCATAAAAACAGAACGGTTCATTCGACTGATTAAAAAAGCACGACCATTTAAAATCTTCAGAAACAGATATGTTCTTCGAACTTCTTTTACAGCTTAACGCCTGCATAAACATTTACTTACTGCAACAATATGATATTATAAGAAACCCAAGTAAAAAGATCCACCTTAAAAAGAATCTGTTTTCTTTACAGCTTATTATCAATCGAAATTTTGTGGACAGAAGTCACCTTTTCCTTTATTCGATCCTTCCAGAAAATTACAATATTTTCTATGTTTCAAAATGCTACAACTTCATCAAATCTCAACATCCCAATCGCCACACGGTGTCTCCGAAGCATTGATCCACGGAGATACGTAAAAGAAAGGGGATCGCTAACCAGAGACCTCCAAACAGTCGTGCCCCTTTAACTCGACAAAAAGACAGATCTCCCGTAGTTCGCGCTAACGGGAGTTTCTCGCTGGGAAGTATATCTCAATGCTCACCGGCGGCGGTTCGGCAGAAGAGTAAACCTCGCTGGGCGCGTAATTGCTATGAGGCTGTGCCATCTTCTCCGAGACGACGGCTACCGTGGCCAACGAGTCCGGTTGTTCCTTCTCCATCTTCCCTGGGTGTACCTTTCCAAGCACTGATCGACAGCTAAATTGGCTCCTCTTCTTCTTCTTCACCTTCTTCCTTTCCTCCTCTTCTTCCGCGCGACAGCTGCCTCCGAGACGAAAAATCCTCTCTGAACACTCGATGTCGATCGCTCGGCGAATCGACGAGCAGTGAGCGTTCGGCACCGTCTGACACCGCTAGCTTAAGGTTACCCCCACCGCGGACGGGACTGGTGAACCTTCTGGTACACCTTTCCGATGGGTACCGTCTTCTGGTACCAAGGTGTACCTCATCGTGCTCCCGATGTCGGACTTTCTAAACACCGCGACGACGCCGGCCGCCTCCATTTGCGTCTGTGGGCGAGACCGGAGGATACGTGTATGCGTGATCCAACCGCGGGTCACGTGTGGGGGGCCAGCGATCAACATTCGTACGCTAGTTTTGCAATGTTTCTTTTTTATTTCTGGTTTCCCGACATCCCTCTGCCCAGCGATCTTCCTTCGCCTTCAGTTTTATCCTCCGCGTTTGTTCGGTCATTCGTTCGTTGCGTCAACGAAGGAACGATCAACGATCCTCTCCAAATCATTACTCTCTCACCTTTGGAGTTTTAACTCGAGCAAGAACGTTCACCGTTCAACGCCATTTTTTCTTTTTGTACTACTTTCTGATAGGTTTTTGCACTCTGCGCGTTAGAGAGGCTTTTTATGGAGATCGATGCGCGATATAAGATACGCGAGCTCGGTTGAGAACTGCTGGCCGCGGAGATGAAATTCGTTTGACCGTTTTTAGCGTTTGGAGACTACTTTTTTGTTATTGATGTATTCTAGAATGGTGCATTGGGGACGTTCGTTCGGAACAGTTTTTCATATTTAGTGTGATTAATGAAATATGGCAAATAATTCTCACTTTCTCTTCTGGTTAAATTAGTATGTGTGGACGCGTCGCAGAACTTATCCCTGAGGTGTTCGCATGTGAATATGTTGTCGCGGATGAACGTGTAGAAAGTAAACGCAATTTCTTGGAATTGTTTATTAACTATTGGCTTCACTGAATTTTTCACGTTATAAATGAGAGACAACTACCTACTTAGATATAAATTGTAAAAAACTTAGTATAGGACATACATATAGAAGATCTAACAATATTCAACATGTGTTTTCTCATAGCTCCCGATATTCGTCACTATTGGGGGATAAGAACTCTCAGAAAATGGAGGTGAGGACCTTATTTAAGTAACATTTTGCAATGTAACGAAGAGAAAAAAAAAGTGTTAAATAAACACTGGCTGACACAACTGATGATCGTTTCGTACGACAATTTTGTTAAAAATTATTTATTTTCTCTAGAATAAAAAAGTAGTCCGTGTTATCATCTCTTTCCTTAGATTATCAAATTTGTATCTTCGGTATTCATATAATCCCTTTCTATTTAGTTAAATGATAAACATACATGTTTTATTCAAAGAATGAATATTTAAGACAATAATTAACTTCACAATTTCTGACCAAAATGTGTATAACTGTTACAGTGTATAAATAAAACTAATAAGAAAATAACATAATAAAGAGATCCAAGGAGGGTATTAAAAATAAATGTGGAAGAAAAAATAGTTTTGAAATTACAACTGACATTTTGGAATGAAGAATTAAAGTGAAATACTACACTAAAATTAATCAATTCTTTTAGAAAATATTTAAACTAATCTCTTTTAATTAACGATCTATTAATAAAAGCCTAATGTCTCAGAGATTCGATTACAGTAAACACGTGCTGACCTCTAACAACAAGTCACATAGTAATGAACATGTGTTTCGAACGACCCAGTGTTTAATGTTATACATGTTTTTACTTTCTAAGTGAAAATATTTATTTATTCTTTAACTAAACATATTTATTTAACAACTAAACGTGTGCCGTATTGTTTCCTCGGTGGATACCATCACTGTGATATAGATGTCACTAAGGAATCATAACCTTTTAATGATCAATAAGGGTACTATTATTCCATTTTTTATTATCAATTTAAAACAAACAAATAAAAAATGTAATTATAATATCGATATTTATACTAAACATTTCATTCAAAGTATTTTTTCTCTCACACTGTAACAACTTCAGTTTAATTTTGTTTATGCTGGGATACAATGTGTTTGTAATTAATTACAAATAGATTTGAAACAAATGATTATATATGTAGTTAAATTGCCCATCATATTTGAATGTTAAATACATTAATGTAAAAAGTGAAATATGTTTACAATTTAATGAACACATTTTATGTTATTTAAATGAAACATGTGCTGCATCATTTATCAAATGACATTTTTGGTATTTAACAATGCAAGGTAAGCAATTAATGGGAAGAAAAATTGAGAGATTACCTCACAAACTTTTGTCACATGAAATCCAAGAATTTTATCCTTGAAGTTTTATGTAACCAAATGTGTACGTTTATGAAGGGTTACATCTGACTCTCATATGTATTTTCATATTCAGAAACGTGTGACATTTGTCTGAGATTATACATTACTCAAATGTTTTTACATACATTACAATTTTCAGGTAATCTTATTCAATGATATATTTTGATTATTATTTTAACCATTACTTTATATACATATATCTGTCCATGTTTTGTAAATAATATTGAAATATATTCTTTGAATTCAATTTCCTTTTATATGATCTTTTTTCTATCTGATAAATCATTTCTTATATTCACATCAGTATATTATCAATTTATCATTTATTGTTACTTTACTATTATAAAAAGTATGTGAGTTTGATTTTCTGTTCAAGGTACAATACATCAATTTCTCAGAAAATAATCAAGAAAAAAATATATCATGAAGAATTTAACAACAAAGCAATTGCAAAGAATGGAAAAAAAGAAAAAGAAGATGGCTGCACTTTTGGAAATTACTAAATTAAATGATAAAGATAGAGAAGCAAAATTGCTTGCTCTTAAAAAGGCTGTTAGTATGGTTTTTAAAACACGATACTTACAATGAATTTTTGTTGTTACATGTTATTTTTGATGTTATATATTATTTCAGTCTAAAGAAGCAGAAAAGTCCAATGACTCAGAGAGTAGTGGAATTTCTATGGAAGAGAGCTCTAAACGTAAACGACCTTGTAGCGAAGATGTAACAGAGACTTATTTTGAAGATTGTACCACGAAAATAGAAGTAGTAACTACCGATGAAAAATCTAATCCACTTGCTAATAAAAAACCTAGGTTTGTAGAAATTTATGTTTAATGATTTCCAATAAAGACTACTAATTAAGATTATGTTTTCTATATCACAGATTAAGTGGAGATGAATATGAAAAATTAAAGCAAGAACTAAGAGAACGTAAAAAGAGACTTAAAACAATACCTCGATTTCATTTAAAAACAATTGGTGAAAGTGCTAGTTTAAGTATTAATATTTCAAGTGAAAACAGAATTCCTATTTTCTTAAGCGATGTGCAACATTTATTACTATATTCCCTACATGGACACCACTCACCATACATGCCAACGAGGTGGTGCCATCTTGAAAAATACAATAAGGTAATAAAGGCTTAGTTTGAATAAAATATTTGAAGTTACATTAAATGTAATCAAAATATTTTTAAAAAGGTCACGCATACTGTGGTTCTTGTTGTCGAAGGACTTTCTCTGTACCACTTCATGTCATATGAAAGCATATTTTCACATATAACAGCAAAATTAGAACATCGTTTAGAAGTAGTAACACCCTCAGCATATGGAGGATCGGTAATAGAAGATTTGGCAACAGTTCCTCTAACCGGGATACAAAGCGACAGATTAATTAAACGTAAATTCATATAAGTATAATTTTATTATTGTAGTTATATTTGATTAAAAAGTTAAGGGATTCTATACTTTTTACAGAATATGGATCTTTAGAAGCTGCTTTGCAAAGTACCGGAGATGTAATAAAATTATTAAAAACCGTTTTCCCAATGAATTGCTTAGGATCGACAAATTCTGATTCATTAAAAAACACATCTGAATTACCTAATACAGATAAATTTCCTAGGACACAATTACTTTTATCTTTATGTCAAATGATAGAAGAAAATTATCCAGTACCTTTAAAGGGAAAATTGGCGAAACAGTAAGTACTACTAATAAAATATTTTTACATAAATTTGATAAATTCTGTTGATATTTAGGTATGAACATTACATATTAACAAAAGATACATATTTGGAAGCCACTCCGAAATCTCCAATGTTTGGTTTGGATTGTGAAATGTGTAAAACAACAACTGGAGATTTGGAACTGACAAGAATATCTCTTGTTGATGAAAGTATGAACGTAAGTTTAAAATTAACATCATCTCATCAATTAACAACATACAGATTTTATAAAAATCTTATCATAGATTATTTACGATAGTCTGGTTAAACCAGAAAATACTATTATCGACTATCTCACTCGGTTCAGCGGTATAACGAAAGACATGTTGACGGATGTCACAACCAGATTATCTGATGTTCAACAAATTTTACGGAAAGTGCTTCCTGCAGATGCTATTCTTGTAGGACAAAGTTTAAACTTTGATCTTCACACCTTGAAGATGATGCACCCATATATTATTGACACATCTGTAATCTTTAACATTACCGGTGATAGGTAATTATCACCTTTTTATGTTACAATCTTCTAGAGTCGAATATTGTAATCTATTTTTCAAAAGAAGAAAAATTTATAATAATGGTAATTATTATATGTAATGTAGGTACAGAAAAACAAAGTTACAAACATTGACCAAGGAATTCCTTGGTGAAAGTATACAAACAGGTACATCTGGACATTGTCCAACCGAAGATTCAATGGCCTCATTGAAATTGACAAAATTGAAATTAGCAAATAGCGTGGATTATGGAGATGCGGTGTTACTTGGTCGATGTGATATGGAAATATTGAAAATGGGAACAGGAAACCTTGAAACTCAGGATCAGTCTTGGAAAAAGGAAATTCGAAAATATGCCACTTCACTTTTCAAACACGTGACAAAAGATCAGAAAACAGCTGCAGTTGTGGGTAATGGGAATGTTATGAACGAGTATTCTAAATATTTGTCTTCTTCTCTTAATATCATGGACGATGAAAATTTTGATAAAAATGATCAGGTATGCAGTTTAAATTGTATGATAGTTGTTAAATAATATAGTTTATTTTTAATTTTGTATTTATTGCAGGTGCGATTTGTAGTCGCGGATAATGATAAGCAAGCCGTGAAACGAGCCTCTCAGATAGCAATGGAACACGCTTTTACCCTATGCCATATTAGAATAGAAGAAGACAAATTGAAAAATGATGAAATGGAGAAAACATTTCGCATGGTTAATAAATGGGTGCATAAACTGTGGCAGCATATGGCAATAAATGGTTTGGCGTGTGTATTATTTACGGGAGAAAATCATGCAGCAAACGGAGCCTGTTTCTTGAATTTAAAAAGAGAAATATCTCAGGATTGTATAAACCGTATTTAGGAAAATGAATCTAATATTTGTACATTCCTTCTTAAAGGAAATTATTGAGAAACTATGATTCTAATGGTATAATATAAATTGTAGAACAAAACACAGCTAGAAAAGAATATCATATTATTTCGATAATCGTTTGCTGGAAATGTACAAATGTTGTATTGTTAATAAACTCTTTTTATCTTATGAAATCTAAATTTAAGAAAAATTGTATGAACTGTACTATATAGAAAGTATAAGTTCAGAAAACACAAATTATATTATGAAATATATTTTATTTGCACTACTTTTAATAATAATAGTCATATTTATTTAAGGGAATAAATCTATTGGTACGTCAATTTTTATAACAGTATTAGGAGAAAGAGATTATGTTATCAGTAAAATTTTTAAGACAAAACTAGTAATTTTTACTATAAATACATAATAATAAAAATAACATAGTTTGCTTATGCATTTGTATTTGCAATATAGTAATTACTATTAGATAAGTTTTTATTACTTTTTTTTTAACAGATACATATTAAAGTTACTTCAATTACTTCACTTTTAAAATATTTTTATAAAGAATAATCTATTCCCATTATAATATGACTTTTTTCGTGAAGATCTAACAATGATGTACATTGCAAAATTGGAAGTATATACCTACATAACGAGCAACAAAATAAAAATGAAAAAGTACAAACCAAAAACTGTTATCTCTATCCCTTTATTTGAATAAAATGTGATCCATTAGTTTTCGCTCAAAATATTCATCGAACAATAATAAACAGACACAGAGGTAGAAATCGACAAATGTTTTGTATACAAACATGCCACTGTCACTACATTCAAATTTAAACAGCATAACTGTTACGTTGCCGGTGGTGAAATAGGGAACTTAGGGTTGTTTCCGCCGACCGTGGAGCGCTGATTTGCTCTAGTCGTAGAAGACAAATTAAAATGAAAAGTAACATAAATAAAGGTAAGCTTAGTTTTTATTTCTCAAATTTCGTAGAAACGTATTCAATTACTGAAACTTAATGTACGTATAAAGCATAAAAGAATATCTAAATTATATTATACGTATCCATATGCATGTTTAATAGGTGAAGATAGGAAAAAAAGCTACTTTGTAAAACATCCTGAAAATTAATAAAGATAGACAAAAATATTAAAAACATAAATTGTTCGTCTTATGAGGAATGAAAATACGTAACAAAATTTTCTATTTATACTTTTTGTTAAAAATTTTATAAATACTGTGTAAATACATAGAAATAATCAACATATTTTTTTAACGATACTAACAAAATATTTAGGATTGAAAAAAAACAAATAATATTTAAATATTAAATTGCAAATAGTATTATATGAACAAATGTTTGATTCTGCATTTTTAGTGAACAAACTTTACTGATAAAAAGTGTTTACTCATAGTTGAAGAAAATAAAAATTTTATTTGAACTGCCGGTCATGTGATATACTCATAAATATCTTTATATTCTATAAAATTATTAAATAATTATAACTTTGTAGTTTAAAACACGAATATTAGCAAGTGATTGTAAGTACGTAATATATTTGATTTGTAGTACTACTCTCAACAGCCCGGCTAGCTCAGTCGGTAGAGCATGAGACTCTTAATCTCAGGGTCGTGGGTTCGAGCCCCACGTTGGGCGATTTCATTTTTGCATACTTTTAATATATCACTTTTTCAACAATTTATACAATTTTATTTACATCTTTACACAGTTTTTCTGACAATAAGAAAACTTAATTAAACCTTGACACTAATTATTGTTCTTTATAAAGATAGCTTAAGACATTAAATGTATTCCTTCACTCCAAACCACTATATTAAAGCATGATTTATCACGTGCATTATTGTCTTATCAACTTTAAATTTAAATGAAATTTCTACCTATAATATTATTCGTTGATAATATATATGTAATAATATTTACGTATTCATTGCAATATTATTTCGAGTAAACTATGCGTTGAACAATTATATTTCTTCTATCGTTTTTTCCCAGAAAATGCGTTTTTAAATGAATTCATATAGTCCTTTCGATGTTATGTAGCATCAGATTTATGCGTTTAGTCCACAACGATTAGTAGTGATAATTGAAAAACCACCGACTTTGGCCTGAAAATCCGTTTGTCAAAATACATTCGTTGTTAGAAAGTAGACCGTGAAAACGTGAAAAACGATCCTGCGTCTGATGATTCACGTCGTTTATCTTTTTCTGTAATTGGAGCAGCGATATCGACGATGTAATATTTACAAGTGATACCACGTGTGCCTTAACAAAGGGAAAAAATCAGTTGAGTTCCTTCAACGAATAAATAAATATGAATTATATATAAGTGTAACTAATGAGGGTTCTGCAATAGTTCTTCATTTTTTCCGAATCGTTTTTTCTAAAATAAAGTACTCTAAAAAAATATTCATGTTTGCAAAATGTTAAAAGATTTTTACACGAAACCTTGTTATACAAGATAAACTGAAGAATTATTGTAAAAAAATATAATTTTTTACAACGTGTTAAAGATACTTTAAGTTTGCACAAGTTATCAATTGTGTATAATCGCAAAGCTTTTTTATCCGTCCATTCAGGATACTTCGTTCCTGACAAGGTTTAGCAGCACTTTATCGTTGAATGCGAATTGACTCAAGTTGCAAAACAGAGGGAGTCTGTTCTCATTAATGTTACGAGTCTGCGTCGTAAAATATTTGGATTTAAATTCATAGATTCACATTACAAAGTATTAGGACATGTAATCGCAAGCTTGTGACGTAAACATTAAGACGTCAAATAACACGTCCGGGTTATAAGACGTTGAAATTTGAAGTTATACCCATACAATAATATTTACTTTGATTCCAAGGCTAGAAGTTTTAAATACTTTTGACACTTTACACACCGAAAGCCTATTAATAGGCTTTTCTAAATCTATATTACGTACAAAATAATTTCCTTTTGAATAATTCTTCTAACTGAAATTGTTCAACTTTGTGAAATTTATAGATTTACGAGACTAATCGCTGTTGCTATTGGAATATTTTTATTAAAAACGTTCTTTAGATTTATTCTTATTCTTTTTCCATTTTCTTATTTTTCGTTGTGAACAAACGTTAGTTCATTTACTTTTATAATAGCTGTCGACTATCAAATAACTATGGATAAAGTGTTGTTGCAATGTTTTAATACTGTTTAATGGAAAATATTGTTATAAGGATGAACCATAATGATATAAAGAAAGATTGGTCAAAATGAAAATACAAAAAATAGTGTTCAATAGATTATAATGATTTTGTTGATCTTACTTAGAATTTTGTATTGAGGTCAAAAATTTAGAGGAGGTCCATGAACTCCGGTGACCTATTTTCGCTCTCCGCTCCGGTATAAATGCTATCGACCCTGGACAACTTCTGTCCCAGGAATCTTCTAAGTTGACCTAATTTCTTTAAGTTCTACATTCGTGTACCCTTGAATCGATACCTGTTTCACAACTTCATTAGAAATAACTAGCATGCACGGTGTTATTCCTTTCCAGAAGAGAAGTGCGAATTTGATTTATTTTGAATGAATTAAATCCATTGGAATCATACTATTATTGTAAATTCAAAACAGTTAGTCTTCTCAGTTTTACTTATCATGGGAAAGAATACTAAAATGAATATGTATCTATAAATACGTATCTATTACAATTAAAATAAAATATATCTAACGTTATATATAATAATAAGAATAATGATAATAAATATAATATACTATAATATAATACATAACACAATTTTTCATGCGTTTATTACGATACAATGATAACTTCATAGAATCACGTAATAGATTACGTAACGCTCACGCACTCTGCTACATATTGCTATGGTTATACGCGGTTAAGGGTTGCTACGTTGGATCAATTAATCGAAGGACTTATTTCCTTCGTAATGGGATCAGTAACTCAATATTATTGTCTCTAGAAAATATGATTTCGTTGTTATCACAGGACTGTCACAGATCAGATCGCCTATAAGTTTACTGTATTTAACAAATCAACTATATATATCCATGTCAAATGAATTTACAAAATTCCATATTAAGAAAGGTATCTATTATGCTCGAATTAATACTCGAAAATTAGTTCAAATATTAGAAAGAAGAAAATAGTTCAAATATGAAATATTAATATTTTATTTGAACTGGACAATGTCACGTATATATATAATTGTTGTTGAAACTGATCTTGAAGTAAAAACTATCAGAAGTTTATAGGAACGTAGTGTATCGCCGCACGACTATCGTTCCATGTTCCATTGACAAAGGTGCATTGACACTAGTCGTAGGTGCATTAGCGTAGGGTTGAAGGCCATCAGCTCGCGGATCGATTCAACGCAAATTTCTAGTCCGTTTTTGGCGAAACAATTAATCTTCACCGACATGAATCGAACTAATCGCCAGCTCAACGATTCTTTAATGGAATTCGAGACACCTTCGTGTGTGACAACGCTGCATGGCCCGTGACGTTTAAACAATATTAGACAGGTCATTCGGAAGACAACGCTAGGAATTCTATTCACCCGAGTTACCACTGCATAGAAATGCACAAATGTGAAAATTCCTTGTGCACCTACGTTTACAATTAAAAAATAAGATATATGTAGATCTACAATATGCACATTTATTACATATGTTTCTTTAATTTATTATGTTAGGTTTTTCAATTCATCTTTACATAAAGAATTAAAGTATCGAAACAAAGATACAGGATGACACTTAAGAAAACATCGATGATCTTGAATTGATCTTTGAAATGCCCTTGAAGACGAATTTTTTTTAACCACTATATACGATCATTATACTTCATCTAGGCATTTTTTCTAATCATAGCAAGAATATTTAGAAATATTATTTTTTATAAAAATACGTACCTCTAATTGGCGTTTTCAAAATCTAAGGAAAATTAAAACCCGATTTGAGGAAGTAATCAACAATTTTCGATAGTAATCTATATGACACAGACAATCCACATAAATAGCTGTCTGAAAGTTAATTGTAAAATTCGGAACGACTTCCATCGTTGAAACTGTATGAACTTAATGAAATACATGAATCTAATCGACAATCTCTCACAAGACTATTTTAACTATTTCACCAACTGTAAAAGAAAACATTTGAAACGGTTCATTTTGATCCAGCCAATAGGTTCCTGATGCTAAAACGGTACATTCGTGCTTTTTTCATCAACCCTGTGAGAACCTTTTCTCCGACATTCTCCGCTTAACAACAATGCAAAAAGCAAATCCAAAATTGTTTATCATACTATAGCCAAAGGGTGGAATACGCCGGCGTCTGCGCGTCGCGACGGTTTCTATGTATAGCCAATGATACAGCTGGTGTTCGGGGCATCGGTTCCTCCGTGCGAATCATATGTTCATTGCGGGCCTGGTCATCGGCCAAGGCGCACAGTACGGTGGGTTTTCACTTCGAAAGGTGAAAATCGACCAGCAGATGGACAATTTTCCACCGAGCACGACACTCTTCTCTCCAATTCGAGTGATCTTCGTGTCGCATTGATCATTTGGCGCCGGGTACCGTTCTCACTCGCGTCTGACATAGTGTTCGTAGCCGGACAAGTTAGCATTTTAGAGAATTCACCAGCGAAAAACATATATTAGATAATATATTGAA